GCTTCGAAACCTGACCAGCAGCGGCTGAACCAGGACCAGAGCAGCTGGGGTGCTGCTGGGTTGCACCAGTAGCGCCCAGAGCGGCGCTGCAGGACCAATCGGCAGCACCCCAGCTGCTCTGCCCCAGGGTCCACAACAAAAGCCTGGTCTGCTGGGGGGGGGCACACTAGCTGCGCCCCCCCCCACCCCAGCAGACCAGGGACACGGGGAGCAGAGCCGCAGCAGCAGCGGGGTGCCGCACCTCTGAGGCTTTGCTCTGGCAAAGTCTCAGAGGCGCGGGACCCCGCCGTGGCTGCAGCTTCAGTCCCGGTGCCTGTGGTCTGCTGGGGACGGTCGGGACCATGTTGATTCAGTGTTGTATGGAGAGCTGTAGAGGGAATTGAGGTAGAGAGGTTAAAAAGAGCATGTAAAATCCTGTTTATCTGATTAATTGCCTAAAGGGGGACAGGCGGGGGGCTGCTTTAGCACTGTGGTGGGCCCGGCCAGTCTGGAACAGCCCCCGCACCCGCATTGGGCCATTTGTTAACCTGTAAGCATCACTCTGTAAGGGTGATGCTTATCGGTTAACAGGTTAACCACTGAGATCCCTACTTGGTGTAATGTTTGGCTTAGATTGTGCCTTCTAAATACTGACAAACTGTATGTTAAATACTGGTTTCTCTACAAAGCATGAGGCTAACAAACAGCTCTGAAATGTTAACTTTCTGCTGCTTCTTGTATATGTGATTTTTGTACCATGTGCTAGGAGTGGGTGTTAAGGAAAAATACCTACATGGGCTTTATGAAATGAATTTAATGTAATAGAAATGAGAATATACTTGCAGATGGGTCTTGTTAACCCAAGTGCTTTCTAATATGTTTGTCCTCTGGGAAGGAGCCTTGAATAAATGCTATGTGAAGTAAGGATGTTACATGTTGTATAATTGAATAGTCATGTAACTGCATGAAATTTTAGTGGTTACACGACTATTTGATAGTCCCCACTGTTGGGGTCAGCATCCAGTGCATTCCCAGCCTCACTCCTGGGGAGCCCCCTGCCACCCCGCCCTGCTGCCTCTGTATTAGAGGCACCAAAGGTGAGAGGAGGGCAGGCAGATCCTTGTGCTCCCTGTGGAGTCTGCTTAAAGCCAGCTCCTCACGGGCACCCGCTCCCACTTCTCCCCACCTTGCTGCCATCAGAGGCAGCGAGGGGTGGGGGGAGAGAAATGCATGTAGTCAACAAGATTTACCAATAAACCCAGGTTTATCAGCTGATCATCTAGTCCTCTATGTGATATCCCTAATGTGAAGTATACATTTCACATTGTTCCTTGTGGGTAGTGGATTGAAATATAGGTTCCTGTTCAATATGAGCAGTGTTGCTTGTTACATGATGTCAAGCAAGTATAACAGTGATGGCTATTAGATATTGCTTGCATGAGCTTTTGGTCCTTGAACCTGAGCGGTAAAACTGCTCGGCCAGTTCAGTGGCACTTCAACTTGTCTCTTGTTCATCTGGCTGATTTCCCCTCCCCCCCCCCTTCACTATGAATTATTCACCTGATTTACTTGAATTTTAGAATTGTTGTCCCCCTGTTCCCTTCTGTTTCCCATTTAGGGGATGGGGTGCAGGAAGGAGGACAACTTGCATGGGAATTACCCCATGAACAAGAGACTGTAGATAAGGGAAGAGATCAGCAATTCTATTTAACCCATACTCTGTTCCCTCTTGAGATGAAAGCCAGCTGGGAACAGTGATGAAAGCCTGAGTGCTCTGTTGTCCCAGTTAGGAGCTTAACTGATAAGGTAGCCAATTCACTGATAATACTATTTAAATAGCAGTGAATGATTAAAGTAGCAGAATTTGGAGTCTGTGTAAATATAGTAATGTGGAAATAGCTGATAAACTATTCCAAAATGGATGCAATAGAATGCCATAAAGTAATATAAATGTCCCACAGAAGTAAGATGCTAAGCTCTAATATTATTCCTCTGGGCGGGGCGCGCTAATGCCAGAGTTTCATTTGATTCAGAATTGCTTAATTTCCCTCATACTTTTCCCAACCTTGTCTATTTAAAAAAAAAATACATAAGGCCAAATTCTGTCTTACAGTAAGTGGGTGTGTCTTATATTGACTTAAATGACTACACGTGTGACCCCAAGTAGTGGTCCCTATAAGCTGAGCACATAGGCAGTCACCCAGCCCATCTTATTAGCAGAGTGCCAAAAGCTGGGAGCATGTGTTTGTATTGGTGGTGCACATGTCTCAGTGCATATAACAAAACTTATTCCTCACATGGATTGAAAAATTAGAGGGAACACTCATCCCAAAGGGTTTGGTCCATAATTAAGGAATTTGACTTTTTTTAGTTGTCCTAATTCTGAATTACATTATTCTGAGTATGGAACACAAAGAATTAGTCATCCATCCACCAGTGTCTAGTCTGAATACTCGTATTAGTTGATCTGTGCACTTGCTGAAGAGTCAACCATTAGTGATGGAAAGGGGATAAACAGTTGACCCGGTAAGCATGGTGTCAAGGCAGTGATTACCATGTAACTGGTTAATCGGTGCCCAGCCAGAGCAGACTGCATATAATTTAACCGTTTTAACATTTTAAATGGGATTCTACATCCTTGCACCCCATTGGTCATTTTGGCAAAACCCAAAGAGCTTTGAGCTGAAGAGCTTTGAATGCAGGAGTTATCTTGTTTTATTGGTGTATGAATGTTATGAACCTTCTGCTCTTTTTCTAAGTTTAATTTGAAAGATCTAAAGTATTAAAAAAAAAAAAGACTCCTCAAATAGTAACAATAGCTTCATTATTACCACCATGTCAATGGAGATATCAAATGTTTAACAGAGAATTCTGAACTGGATTCAATATTACCGCTTGTTTGTTTTAATCCAGCTGGGATCTGTAGAAATCATTGTTCCTTGCCACCTGTTGAGCTTGTAGAATGAACTGAAGGGTCTCAATCCTTTTCTGGTGGATGGTTGTTGCATTACAGCATCTGCTGACTGCTTTCTTGCCAGTGAGATTGCATGGGCTTAGAGGAGAGAGGGTCTTCCAAGCTGCAGAGGAAT